AATGGTTTATACCACAAACAGCTATTTAGAAGGTGAGATGAGGAAAAGTTGGTAACATAGGCCTATGCAAAGGACAGACTAGAGTCAAGCTTGAAGAAATAGCCATTGATGTAGATTTGAACTAAGCTGAAAAATGTCCATGTGCTTTTGCATTTAATGCTTTTGTTATTTCTCAAATAACAAATCTGTGAATTGCAAACATTCATTTATAAAAGTCAATTAATTTATGAAATGGAAAAGGGGCAGATTTATGATGACTAAAATACATGATTTCAACAGCAGACATTCCAATTTACAGCTCAGTGCACCACCTAAAACGGCTGTTCATGTCTGTAATTTCTGTACTTTACATAAAGTACTCCTAATAAATTAAACCTCCAGGAAAAAGAGAAACATCACTCATAAAATAGCTGCTTATCTGAAAACCATAGTAAGTAAAACATATACACTACATGTATACACCAAAAATGGTGAAGCTGAATGGGGAAAAAACTGAAAAAGGAAAAAAAAAGGGGATAATAAAAAAAAAAGGTTTTAGCATCCTTTTTACAAAAAACTCACAAAAACGATGGTCATATTAAGTGCTAAATCAACCTTCTTCATCCTCTGTTTTATTTGTACAATACAGAATAAAATTACAAAATATTTGAATGTCATACCATTCTGAATCTATTGCTCTTTCACTACATCTTCTGTAGCAAAAAAGTCGCAGAAATTTCTCTTTGAACTTCTCTGTTCTATGACATAAAAAGTCCACTGAGACTCATAAATCCTAATGCCATTTAATCAGTCTGAAAAAATTTTAATGAGCTCTCACTAGATTTGGTACAGAGATTATTTGTAACTATGGGATCAATTAATTAATTAGAAATGGAAGAAACTGCAAAGAAATAGTGTTTTAAATTAAGGTGATGATTTACATCACTTGGAACTTTTTAAATAGAACAGATTGATTCTTCATAAGAGAGTTATGACCATTTGTATTACTGCAATCTATTCCTCTTTTTAAACAGTGGATATAAATGGATTTATTTGCTTTTAAATTACTAGTAAGGCCCTTTATTTTACAGAAAAGCTGTAGGCAAATCAACCAAAATACTGGAAAGAAAGGCCCTAGCCCACAACATCCTTAAATAGGAGGATAATTAATCTGTGGTTTTGATGACAGAAGTGTATTGGAAGTATGTATAAATGTTGGCATGGGAATGTCTGCAGCCCTCTCAGTTAGAGCCATATTTAAATTAAATTTATTAGCATATCATTTTTGTTATTATGAAATAAAACTTCAAGACAGTATTGCAAATTTTTATAAATATATATATGTATATAAAATATATAAAAATACATACAAATGGCCATGTTAGTATGAACTCTTTTAAAGCAAAAATTAATATTCTAGTATTTATAAATTCGAAAATCATGATTTTTTAATAATGCGAGCCCTATAAATTAAAGTGGAACAGAAAAATATTGTTTAGCAAAAGTACTTTTGTTTCCTTACTTTTTTTTCCCTGATCAAATCTGTGAAGTTAATGACTGAATCACAGGATAAGTGAGATTGGAAGGGACCTCCAGAGCTCATTCAGTCTGTGGACTGTGTCCAGACAAATTCCAAGTATCTCCAAGGATGGAGACTCCACAACTCATCTAGGCAACCTCTGCAGGTGCTTGGCCACCCTCACAGCAAAAAAAGTGTTTTCGTGTGCTCAGTCTCCTGTGTATGTCTGTGCCCACTGCCTCTGGTTCTGTCACTGGGCACCACTGAAAAGAGCCTGGCTCCTTCTTCTTTACCGTCTCTCTTCAGGTATTCCTACACATTAATAAGATCCCCTGAGCATTCTCTTCTCGTCATTCCAACCACGTCACTAAAGATGTTAACCAGGGCTGTACCCAGTATTGACCTCTACTCACTGGCACCCAACTAGACTTGTGCCACTGATCACAACCTTCTGGGCCTGGTCGTTCAGCCGGTTTTCAAAGCACGCCACTGTCTGCTCATCCACAGCTTCTCTGCAAGGATCATATGGGTGAGAGTGTCACAGGCACTCCTGTAGCACAGGGAGACAACAGCCACTGCTCTCACCTTGTCCACCAGGCCAGTCACTTCATTATAGAAGTTAATCAAGTTTGTCAACCATGACTTTCCCTTGGTGTAGCCATGCTGACTGCTCCTGATGATTTGCTTATCCTTCCTGTGCCTGGAAATGGTTTTCAGGATTAGTTCTTCCATCACCATTTTCCAGGGATTGAGGTGAGGCTGAGTAGCCTGTAGTTCCCTGGCTTGAAGACAGGAGTGACATTTGCTTTCTCCAGTCTTTGAGCACTTCTCCCAGTGGCCATGATTGATCAACGAGTATGTAAAGTGGTCTTGCAATGACACTAGAGGGTGTATCCCATCAGGGTCCCTGGACTTACTCATGTCCAGTTTGTTTAAGTATTCCCTCACCAAAATCTAAACAGAAACAATACTATGAAAAGTATTATTTAATTGTCTAAATAAAATGTATGAAAAAGAACACAGTGTTTTGAACATTCTGGTCTGAAATTTCTATAATATTCAAGAACACATTGTTTCTACATATGTACAGCTCCAGATGGTTTTCATACCAGTTGCATCTGTGCATTTGAGATCAGAAATTTGAGTATATGTTTTTAAATTTAAATTTTAGAAAAATTTAAGCTTTCTAGTATTTAATCTTCAGATCATATTTTGATTACCTGATTTAATTAATTACTTATAGGACAGTGCATTGTTGCTAGTTTTGCAAGTTCATATGATGTTTCACGTATCACCAGATAGCAAGACCTAGGCTGAATTTGCAGGGTGTATCTTGTTCAAAATTCCTGTGCTGTGGTTTCATCATTATGCCTATTAAGTTCCTAGTTAACCAAAGACTGCAAACAAAAAGGTCAACATTTAAGAAATTCCCAGATGGACAACTATGACATCCTTCAATGACAGTAAAGCAGATATCATATCCATTTATATATCAATTTAAATACTTTTCTTCCCCTTGAGAGTTCTGTGCTTGTGCTAAATTCCCACACTTCAACATTTGTGATTTTTGTAGATGCAACAAAAATTCAGTTGAATTTAATCTGCTCTAAGGGAACGCTGATGCTGTAAACTCATATAGAGGAAAAACGTATATTCAAACATTTATGTTCTTCTTCAAAAAAAGGTTAACAAAATAAAAATACAAACCCAATCAAAAATACAATCTGCAATTTTGTCCAACATACCTTTAAAATCGTTTAAAAATATTAAGTGTAATATAGATGCTACTATTATCTTCAAGTATTTTTTTCATTGCTAACATAACTAAGGAAACAAACAATTATCTACAACAGTGTCACTGGTTTTGTTGCTTGCTTTTGGGTTGTTTTTTAATGTTTTTGTCCTTTTTAATTATTACCACCTTGTGACTTTTCTGAAATAGAGCCAAATAAACAAAGAGTTTTGGGAAAGCTGTCCTTCTGCTCCTCACATGAAATTATAGTTTAATTTGCCATTAACACAGCTGACATTCAGTTTTCTTACTTCTTGAGATACAGTAACAGTTACAACCCAGATTTATATAAATTATCAATACTTTCTGCTCTTTTACTTTCAGAATTACAGAACAGCTTACAGTTATACTTACATCCAATTAAAAAGTATGCAATTATGCACTTCATCCTGTTTCCCAAAAAAAACATACCATACAACATTACAGGAACATACCCTGATTTTTTGTTCCCTACACATACAGTTAAGCAAGGAAGAATATTTTTATATGAAAAAAAATATTAAGCTGTGGTTTAAGCTTGTGTTCAACTCCTCTCTTCCTCTCTCCAAAACCTTGGGCTGCTTCCCAATATGTGCTCTGAACTGAATACTAACATATTCAAAATTCATAACTCCTTGACTCTAAAGTGAGATCTACAGCCTTGCTGCTCAGATTTCAACATTTGGAACAAGCCATATACACAAGGCCTACTCACACAAGTATCTACCACGCCCCTACAACGCCATGTTTGATTAACACAGTTTGATTAACACTGTTCAACAGTAAACCACACTGCATCAAACTTATTTCACTTTGTATTCTCGGGCAATGAAAATACCATTTAGACTCTGTGTGAGAATTCAAAGTACGAAAGGCTGAGGAATCAGTTAATTGTATTTGTGTAGCCATTTTTTCCTCAATAATCCTACTGAGAGAACAGTAATCACAGTCTAATCTACCTAAACTTGTTCCTTAAAATTAGTATGTAATGCATTTTTCTGCAGTAATGAAACTCTGAAACTTCAGAACTTATGTTCCACTCGGGACAGAGAAGAAGTGAGAAAAATATTCTATGGATAAAGACAATTTAATTTAAAATAAAAGTGAAGACATTATTTTAACAACTCTCAGTTTATCTTTCAAATATTTTCCCTGCAGATTTCTATTTCAGAATAAACTTTGGAAAGTTATATATAAGAGAGAAAAACTAAACACACCTACTATTTGAGAAAGATTGCTCAAACTGATAGTTTTAAATCAGAAACAAGAATTATGATCTCAGAGATTTAGACTGTAACAGGAAAGATGTGGCTTAGGAAAAATAATGCCCTGTTCACAAAGAACCATCTTTAATGTTTTGATACTTAAGAGGTAAATCAGCTATGAATGTATGGAAAATAAACTGAACTATGCTTAAACAACTGTTTCCAAACTTTGAATAGTGAAGTTAAGATTGTAGATTTATTTACACAGCAGAAAATCATTACTACTGTGTAGCATACTACTGCATGCTACTGTGTAGTAAATCAGAGCAATCAGCATTACAAACACTAGATGTAGTGGGGGGAAATCTCTTCCTTCAACAGCACAAACATCTTTGAAAACAGAAGCTGCTGATTTTTATAATCTTTATATTAAATTTAATCTAAGCATTTATCACATTAAAAAAAAAATCCAAATATAGCCCAAAGAGAATATTCCTAAATCAAATTTGTCCCCTCCCCTTCTTACCTTCTCTGGAGGTGCAGGAGGGTGAAATCTCTTTGCACAAACCAAAAATGGATCAGGGTGTGGTTTGCCACACTTCACCTCAGGGTCATCTCCCAACACAATATGATGAAAAAGACCAAAAAAGTCTTTGTGTCTGGTTGTTTTCAGCTGAAATGAGACTTCATCTGAGCTGCTGGCAACAGCCATGGGTATGTTGTGTTTGTGTAAATGACGGATCAGCTTATCGACCCCTGCAAGACAAATATATATATTTTAGTTTTTATATATATGCATGTATGTTGGTATATGTATTAATGTTTATACCTAACTACAAAGTATTTGGCAATATTTCAACAATGCTGTCTTACTGAATAAAATAACCTATTTCAATCAGTTAGTGTGAAAGAAAATTCTTGCTATATCTGAAACATTCCTTCTCCAGACAAAAACCATGGAACATTCCTCAAGGTATATATATACTTGTTCTGTTATCAAAGTGATTCTTTTCTCAAAATATGTCAAAAATGGGTTCAACATCATTACATGATGACATCCACTAGAAAGTCATTAAGCAATGTCCCCATATTATGTAAGTTTATTATTTCGAACTCTGAGAGTTTGGGAGAACATTTTCTTTCATATACAGTTAGGCTCCTGAGAAAAGAATCAAAAAAATATACTCTTCTCACTGGATGGCATAGTTTTAGTTTCTGAAGCAGGTATCCAACTGGCTCAATCCAGACCCTAAGGGAGCTCAGATTCTCTCTTTTGCAATTATTAAAGCAAGTAACACTAGGCAGAGGAGAGCAGCTGTCAGTCACAGTTGTTAATACCAGAGCTTTATCTATTGATGCTGTGAACCCAGAGTAATGAACACCTCAAGCCTAATGGGTAGAAACTTCAATCTGATCCAGTCTTCTAGGGAAGGTTAATGCAGTGAACAGAGAAAGCACAGCAGTCTGTGTAAGAGGGAAACATACACCGTTATTAGGTGCAAGTTTTGAGTTTTCTTTGAAGGGGTTTTAATGCTCCTTTTCTGCAGCATTCTAAATGCTGAATACCTCTCCCAGAAAAAACAATTAGCATTGTGTAATGAAGAACAAGATTGGATGTCTGGTCTTCATTAACTCACAAGAGAAAATCCCTCCATATCTGTATAATCATTTCAGCTTTGTTTGTTGGCATAAATCTGTCCCACGGTGTTGGACACAGGATATTAGTTTCAGGCAGTTTAGGTTCAAGTAGATTCCAGTTGACTTTTGGCTCTTTGAAACAAGTTGAGCACAATTCTCTGTTTTTACCTTCCAAGTGCATGCATTCTTATATTTTTCATGTCTGGTTATACTAAAATAATCTTATTCCCTTCCTTCTGATTCACTGTCATGGTTATGTCTGGTCCCCGCTCCCTCCAACCATTCCTAACCCTCATGCCCATTTAATTCTTTCCTTTGCCACACCAGCATCTCTGATTTGCATTTCCCATGTGACTTAGCCTTTCAATTCTAAAAATCAACCACCTAATCTGCCACACATTTTTCCCAAGTATAGTCATATGCCCAACTTGGAGAAGTTGTAAGTACTATTGATAATAAAGTGTGTAGATTACTAAATAGGTGCATTAACTAATCCACCTGTCTGGAACTAGGACTTGTAGGTATGGCTCTCTGCAGATTTCTCATCTATTCTCCAGAATCTAAGCAAACAATTAATAGCTGACATTTCCAGTTCCATGTTCATATTTGATGACTTTAAATACACACACTTCTGTGATGTTAGATTTCGAGTTGGACAGAAATAACAAGTGTTATTCCTCCTGTAATATCAATGCATCATCCATTTGAAAGCCTTCCTATGCCTCCTTAAATGGTTATACTAAGCAAGTGCATTTTTCCCAAATGATGCTATTATGTCCTCTCACCAAAATATGACGTTAAATACAATTCAACCTTTTATTCCAGATAGTTTAAGTCTTCATTCTGAAACATGTAGTAAGTCTATAGTAAATTAGTGAAGTACTAGGATACCTTAATGTAAAGCAGTAGCCTAAGCATCCCTTCTTTAAAATAAAATGCATTCATTCTAAGGAACTTATTCTAAATAAGCTGCAACGTTTAGCAAGGCTAGCATGTCATGTGTGTAGTAATATAAAGAAGCCCAAAGATTAAGCAGAAGACTTTTCCTATCTCCTATGCCCTTGCTATGATATAGTTAGTTTTCTCTAAAGTTGTGCTCTTTTCAAATAGCTAATTTTCTTCAGTCCCACTGCATCACAGCTTCAGTTCATCTCTCACAGGGTATGTTTATTCTATATTTCTATTGGAAGTAGCCAGCCACAGAAAAGCACTGTTGCAGAAAGGTTATTTCTCCAGGGTCCTCTCTTATGTTCCCCCAGCACATCAAGATTTTAGTGTGTAACTGTGTATAGGTGCGTGTTTGATTTCTCTTTTTGGCTTCCCTCACAACAAGGGAGCTAAAATGCACTTGTCCTTAATACCTCCAGAAAGCAAATATTTACATTATTCAGAAAATGCACTTTAATAAGAATATGCCATTTAAAAATGATTATTCGTTTATGTGTAAATAGAGCAAGATAGATTAGAGAAAAAGCAAAAGGCAAATCAGCTGCACAGAAAAAAATTAAACTGCATTTGGAAGAGTAGCTAGCATAACTTGACAAACTCAAAACAGATGAAAAATATCTTCATTCCAGGTTTGCTTTCCTCTTTGTAAAAGCTATAGATCAAGAAAATCCATTTTTGTTTGCATCAGCTACCACCAGTATAGCTCTAGACACTTAGCCACCACATCAAATTACTGACACAATTATTGTACCAATTCAGGACATAATTCTTTATTAGGAAGATAATATCTTCCTCAGTATCTTTATAGTGTTTTTTTAAAAGAAAACATCAACAGAAGGGGAATTGAAGAACTGCTTTAAATATCTGTAAGAAACTTCCCCTGGTATATCCTGTGTTATTATACCCTCTGTAGCTACAAAGATTTTTCAATCAAATGACAATCAAACCAACCAAGTAAGAACTCAAAGACCACGAAGAACTACGCTGAAAATTCCTGTGACCTTGATAACTTCTAACTTACTTGTTGCTACATCAGGGCCCATCCATCACAGAGGGACCCCTCTGTTAGACTTCCTGGGACCACCTTTCACCCTTCTGACTGAAAGCTTAGGCACATACAGCAAGAACAAAAAATAAAGAAAGATCAAAAGAAATAAAGATCTCTGTTCTTCCAGGATAAGGATACACTTCTAATGTGGCACACAGGCAATAACTATCTTATGCAGTATATGAATTCTTCAAGTAATTACAAAAAAATCAGGAGTACCCCACATTGCTATGCTTTATTTCCAAATGTACTCATTTTTTCAGATAACCAAAGCAGTAAATACTGTTTCTTTATGCTATGTCTTTAAATGTGAAGTTTTAGAACAGACATAGAAGCTCAATATATGCTAAATGCAATAGTTCAACACTGGTAACTATTGGAAAGAAAAATAGGTGAAAAGAATTGTAAGGTCAATTTTGTTACAGTAGCTGCAAAGAAGAAGGATCAACTTTAAATGTCAGCATCTTTAACACCTAATTAATCACAAATGTCAATGAAGTTATCAAGTTTGGGAAAACAAATTAAACCAACAGAAAGGATTTATTTCTTCTGAGACCACAGATGCATTTCAAAGAAAGAGATCAGTTTTTGTTCTGAAAATTGGAAAAAATCATATATAAAAATATATATTTCTTTTTTTTAAAAAAAGGAAGTATTATTCCTCCATTAGACTCCAAATGTGGTGTTTGCACTTTTTAGATTCAGCTGAAATCATGGTGACTAATACATTGGATCAACTAACAAACTAAAAATAAGACTCATACTGAACAGCAAAACCCTTGGGCTAACTGTCACTTTTTTCCTTCTCATTGACTAATACAAACATGTACAGCAAGTGTTCAGGAAACCAAACAATGCTACACTAAAATGATCTAATGAGAATCCCTATCTAATTACTTACATGGTATTACAACACTGTTTTCCACATGATTTTTTTAAAGTTATCACATTTTTTAATCAAATGGCATTACTCACTATGAAGTGCAAATTAACAAGACAAAACTCCTCAAAGCTAGCACAAATTGATGAAAAACGAAGGGAATTTTTATTTTCCTTTTAGCTTTATACAAACATGGTCTCTGTGTCATGCAGAATACTTCAGAACAATGAACAACATGTGTATTTTTGCTATATTTTATATAATTTCAAATTTTTGTACCATCCCTTTTCTTGTATTTGTCTATCACTGAACATAACACTGTTCTTAACTTATATCACTTCTCTATCTCCACATTCAGATCTATTTCTTTTGAAATGTTTCCAGACAAAAAAGGAGATACTATAAAGCTCTTCTATTCTTTTCTAATACGTCTTTAACCAAACCTTTTTTCTATGAGTATGTCCCAGTAAGGGTATGTTTTTCAAAACAGACAAGAAAGTGATCTCCATCATAAACTGGGCAAACACACATCTTGATGATTTATGTCCATATGCACAAATGAAAATCTTAAGAATAAAAATAGCTTCTGTATTAAAAGACTGCTCCTTTTTTTCATAATCATTAAGCATTACCACTCAGAGTTTTGCAGGTTGACTAGATTTCTAGCCAATTCCATGACAGTCTTTTAAGTTTATAAAAACAATTCTGTGGCAAAAACCTCAGCAGCATCTGAACATTAAAAGCACTCAACAAAACACAAAAAAATTTCACTCACAAAAAGAAGCCGCTGTTTGTTAACTTAAGCCATAAAATCATTAAAAAAATTTTTTATGTAGTCTGGTGTGCTACAACAACTGCAAGCCCATCAACATACTGCTATTCATTAACTACACTTTCTTGCAATCCTCAGGGGAAGTCAGGATTGCTGCTGTGAAGGTGACAGTGTGACAGAGGTGGGGTTATCCGCTACTTGGTTTAATTGCCATGAATGCTTTAACTTGGTCAGCCCCGAATTGGTCAGGTAGTTGGACTAGATGATAGTTGTAGGTCCCTTCCAACTGAAATAGTCCTGTTCTGTTCTGTTTTATTCTATTCTATTGCTAAATCTCATGAGACTATGGAAATGTAACTCTCAGATCAACCTGCTTCTTTTTTTGTTATGATACACTGTTTAAAAAGGTTATCTGCAAGGGTATGTTACCCTTTCCCTGAGCTAGAAACTGGAGATGGAAACTACTAACCTATTCTCCACTTTGGAAGGTAATTGACTTCTAATAAAGAATTTTGTTTTCTCATCTTATTGCCTTCTAAAAAGTACCAGAGATCTTTCTGGTGGCAGAGACTCTTTATTCACTGAATCATTATTATCATTTCAGTCTGGAAATACTGACACATGCATGGCCATAGAAGAAATATAAGTACTAAATTTTACATAATTTAGAACCTGCATCAACTGTGTTTCTGATTTCCTGATAAAAGCATGTTTGGGTTGCAATTCTTTAGGACTTGATGTAAAGGACAAATCTTTGAAATCAGCCAAACAGAAAGCATCATTCTGAGTTTGCAGATATCTAATTGACTGATATCTAGGGGTTACAAGCCCACTGAGCCGAGCATTGACTCACTAGAGTTTCCTAGCATTAAAACAATAACAGCAATGAAAAGAAAAGATAGCATGCTAGGAAATCTATTTACCTGTTAAGGGCACAACATCAAGGAAGCTATAGTTAAGCTCACTAGACTGCTGGTTGAATGGAACTGCTGAAGAAAAAAATAAATTGGAGTTTCCATTGAAATTTGAACTGTTTTCCTTTCTTCTCTTTTTATGCTTTCTGACTGGCTTCATTTGGTACTAAAATTGAGGTATAAAATTACCTCCTCATGGTTGCAAGAAACAGTCAACTGTACTTGAACTGAAAAATAGCTTGCACATCACATTCTGCACTGGCTGAACAAGAGCTGCAACAACTAAATCCCAGTTATTGTAAAAACAACCCAGGAATGGAAAATGTCTGAAAGGTATACACAGTCACACAATCCTTAAGGATCTGTGCTTTGTGATAATGATGATGAGCCAAACCAGAGACTACTATGAAAGAATAGCAGTAGTTTCATAATCCTGACATGATCACAGTAACTGTTGGCAGTTGTATAACTTGGAGTTCAGTTTTTCTGGCTCTGTATATATTCTAGGTTTATATTATGCAAAAGCACACTTAAACATGTATAGGTAGATATACATATGCATGGTTTTCTTCTGTTCCACCTGTCATTCCTTATTCTTCAGACTATGCACTTCCCTGTAACACAGAAATGCTAAAAATGCATTTGCAGAAACAGAAAACCTACTATATTACTCTTGCAGATAACAATGTCTGTACTCCTACAGAAATATTTAGAAAACCAGCACAGTGGCAGGTCTGTCATTTTGTCAGTGTTCTCTTGGATTAATTTCTTTCTCCACTGAATCAAAACTACCATTCCTTAAGATTCTTTCAAAACTAAAAATAAATCAAACTGTGAAAAACTCTCAAATAGTTACCAGAAAATTCCATATTAGAAATGGATATAGACTCTTAGACAAAATTTGTATTTTGACCACAGCCAGATGTGTTGAGGTTTGTCTGTCAGTTCAGCCATATTGAAATAGTCAAAATTCTGTCTTCAACCACTCATGCCTCAGAAGTGCTGCACATTAAGTGGCATGGCTGTAATATAGCCTGTGCCATGGTCTAAGCCCAGCTGGCAACTAAGTACCACACAGCTGCTCACTCAGTGTGTGTGTCCTCCCTGGTGGATGAAGAGAAGAATCAGGAAAAAAAGTAACTTGCAGGTCGAGATAAGAACAGATTAATAATCAAAACAAAGTAAAATATAATAATGACAATACTAATACAACTAATTGCAAAATGAAAGGGAAAGGGGGAGAGAGAGATAAAACCTAAGAAAGAAAAGTGATGCACAATGCAATTGCTCACCACCTGTTGACTGATGCCCAGCCCATCCAAAAGCCACAACTCATCCCTCTCCCACGTAACAACCCCAGTTTATACCCTGGGCATGATGTTCTACGGTATGGAATATCCCTTTGGCCAGTTCAGATAAGCCATGCTCCCTCCTGACTCCTTGCTCACCTGCTCACTGGCAGAGCACGGGACACTGAAAAATCCTTGACTTGGGGCAAGCGCTACTTAAACATCAGTGTGTTATCAACTTTATTCTTGTACTAAATCTAAAACACATCAATATACCTGCAACTAAGAAAAACAACCGAACTCTATCCCAGTTGAAACCAGGTTTCTAACCTGTCAGACAAAGAACTGTTTTGCCAATTAAATATTCGTACAACTTCCACACTATCCTTAATCGTCACCAACACACCTGTCAATTACTTGATTTGGGAATTAATAGAGCTATCATGTTTGGCAAAATTATGTGCATAGCTCATTCCACATCCAGAAACAAATGCTGATTTGCTTGAGTCACTTTTTTAAATATCTTTGGTCATTTTTTAGCTCTGCTCTCCACCAAATCAAATTTCAATCTTATTTTTTGGACAAACTTTAGAAATTGATTAAAAAATAGAACGTCACCTGAATATTAACTGTCAAAAGATGGCCAGAGATACAGCACTTCAGTCATCCTATGCCATTAATATGACAATTAACTTTCACTTTCCTGTATTTACCTGTAACCATCTGAAAGATCGATTTAGTCAGAGAACAGTGTAAACTCAAAATGTCATCAGTCTTATATCTTACACAACATATGCAAGAAGCCCATTCTTAATTAAAGAACATTAAGAGACTGCAGAACAAATCCACAAGGATTATATGAATAAACACTCTCAGAAGACACAAAAGGGCAGAAGAAATTATCAGATTTAAAAATCTGGTTGATTGGAGAACAGTCCTTAAAGAAACTAGATGGTAAGCAGCTGGAGCCATTTCCCCCTACCTTATTAACTGACATCAGCCTGGTCTCTCAAAATTCATGGCAATTTAGCTTGTATCCCATATGCTGCCTCCAAGTAAAGGACAGATCATATCAGTTTAGTGACCAAGGACGCCTCTGCTCTCCACAATGGCCAGTGAGCATAAAGTATGTTAGTTCACATCAATTCTGCTTTAAAAAATACCCTGAAGAAAGTTATTACGTGTATTTAGTTGAACTGAAAAGATAATCAGTTGAACAATTCTGGGGATGATGAAAATGTTTACTTGCTTCTCACAGTAAGAATTTTGCTGTTTTCATCCATAATAGCCCAGCTTCAGCAAGCCCAGAATTCACTTTTTGAAGTCAGGAACAGCATAAAACCTCATGTTTCCTTCAGCTAATCTGTTCCCTCACCTCTCTAACTCTGTTTAAACAGCTCAGCCACATTATCACAATCTTCAGCTGGCACACAATATCTACTTAATAGCGTCTATTACGTTGTTTCATTACAGCAACTCTTCTCCATGCCTCCTAACATTTTACCCAGTCTGTCCATCTGGCATTTTCTAAACCCAGACTACGTACGTTTTTCTTGTTTGGCTTGCAAAAGATATAGCTGAAAATTTAGCCCCAGAAGTTTGACATGAAAAATGAAAAACACATCAATCCATATTTCTCATTGTTTTGAAGAGTTTAACTAGGCTTACAGTTTTAAGTGGAACTATGATTGAGAGAGATGCAATTTGTAAAACCTTGCACATAAAACACATTAAAGAGATAACTAAATTGGCTGCACAAAATACTCAAGTTTTTTAAGCTGCTAAAAAAACGGCACCTTTTATTTTTGCTGCTTGTTATTTATTCCTAACATATCACATATTTTTAACTTTCATTCTCCTAATGCATTATGAAACTAGGTATAAAAAAGCATCTAAAAATTAAAACATTAATGCACGGTAGAAATTGTCAGAACAAATGAGTACACGTTCAAAGAGAAAAAATGATAACAGTCAAACTCGTACAGTGACATGCAGTTATTTCACTTCTAATACTTTTTTATATTCCTCTCCATCTCCTCCTTTTTTTTCCCTTCATAAATTATTTGCTCCAGAAAGTTTAACATTGTACATAAAGTTACCAGTAATCCTAGGTTTAGGTATCGCTAATCTTGTATGGTTGAGGATTTCTCTCTAGAGCATTTCAGATCTAAATGTAATTGAATATAAAAGTATCCATTCACACTACAGATAAGATTCGTCCTCTTGCTTATCTTGAGGTACCTGGTTGAAGCTACTCATTTGGGCATTCTGCACTATCACTGGTAAAAGGTGAGGAAACACTCATGTTTTAGGATAACCTAAGGAATCCTCCCTCGCCAGTGACACGTTCAGACACTGTTACTTGAGTTTCAGTGTTCAGGTTAAGTGAGAGTAATCCCAACTGAAAGAACTCATGGGCTTGCATACTTTTAAAAGTGCAGGCAAATTTATTTGTGCTTAACAAAACAAGGCTATGCTCATAGTCAGGGAAAGCTACCAACAACAATTATAAAGAATGGCTGGTTTACAAAACAGAATTCACGCGTATGTACCTAGTCCTTTTTTTTCTTTTAAAACACCTAGAAAAAAGCTTTGCTCCAAGTAAATAAGGAAAGAAGTTTTCTGTACTCCTTGACAGGTAAAATATCTCTTTAGACTGGTAAATAACACGTGGATTTGAGTAAGACTTGCTAAAATGACAGCAATGAAACAGAATCTGTAAGAGAAACTGTTTTGTGGAAGACAGATTACAAACTTCTGCTTGATTAGCATTTAAATAATTCCATAAAGAGTTTGCAAATATTGAAAAGAAACATACCTGGCATTAATGCAGTAGTACAGAATAGCTTCGCCTGCATGATTTTACTTTCATTTAGCAGCTCTTCTTTGGTTATTGGAAGATCTAGAACATCTCGAATAATTTCTGCCGATTCTAGGGGTTTCTTACCCATAACCAAGGATTTCACATCCCAGGTATATGATTTTCCAAAACGCCCACAGATCTCTTCGAACACTACTGAATACAGACGCTCGGTATCTGTCAAACAAACAAAAGAAAAGAAAGAAAATGAAGCCCATGTATAGCCAGCTAGGCAGCTGTCTTGCAAATGGACCACATAAATGGTCAGAGAGTGAACTGCCAGGAGCCAGAGGGCTCATACTGAAGCGAGTAAAACTGCCTCCCTTTATTCGCAGAGGGGATCCCAGGTTTCCAGGATCACCTCACAAGTACCAAGGTTTTTCAAGCTGTCGCTTCTGTGGTAACTAAGGGTCTCAGCAAAGAACTATCTGGACCTTCTCTTTCATCACCTTTCTTTACTATCCAAGTTAGCAAGAAGTGTCTTAATTAAAATACTCTATGCTTTCTATGAGAAAGAAAAGAAGGGAAGGAAGGAAATCTGGTACTTGGGGGATGTCATTACACATTCCATGTAAATTGAAAAAAGAAAAAAAAGAATTAATTATTTAAGAGTGTCTTTGAACAGAAGCTTCTGAGTGCCTTCAAAGACGTAACAGTCATTACTATAGTGCTGCTGGCAGTGCTGCATTTACATGGGATTACTCCAGCAAAACACACCCACTTGTATTTCCAGGGGATTTCAGACGAGAATAAACTTAAGGCTGAATTTTGGCAGCTTATATGTCAAAGATGTTTTAGCTTTCAAGTTATTTTTTTAATAGAAACAAATAATCCGTCCTTTCTCCCCCACCCAACAAATCTTTGAAAAAGAAGGTCATTAATATTTAATTTAACACTAATATGGGGAAGAAATGTACTTTCAGCTCTTGGCTTCATTTCAGCAAAGATCTTGAACACTGGCTTTTCTACCAGTCTGTTTATCTTTTCAAGTAGTGTCCTTTGAAAAGCCAGCTATTGCTGTTAACCATGCTTTAATTTCCTTGTCATGCATGTCTTTGCCTTCTGTATCTCTAAAGGTATGTTTATTACTATCACTTTAGCAATGAAAGAGAAGAGAAGAAAAAGATAAAGAAAAGGAAAGAAAGAAGTTGCTCTTATGAGAAATTTAGAGAAGTTCAGGACTTCACTTATCAACATGTCCTTTGTCATGTAAAAACATTTTTGTAGATAATAAAATAGTGAAATAATTCATGTGAGAAGGTAAATTAAGAATACAATGTTTAAAATTCACAGTTCCCCCTTTCCTTTTTTTCTTATACACTGTTTTTTCTTCTATATCTCAGACTCACCAGTTGAAGGACATAAAATTCTTACTCTAAACTTAAAATTGAGAAAGAAAATTAATCCTCATCCTGTTAAATAATAAATATCAAGCTAAGCAGAATTAAAACAAAACAAGGAAACAAAAAATTCTAGAACATGAAAATTTTCCTATGAGTCTCTATGATAATTACATGTTAATCTACCTGAAAGTGAAAGATTCAACTCCATAGCTAAAGACACTAATTTAAAAAGTCTCCTGCATTTTAAGTATCACATAGCTGACTGGTGAATGAAAATACTCTTCTCATTTCTAGTTCTCATCTCTTGATATATCTTTTACATGGACATTATCAGCAGGATGTTCTGTCCATCTACTTGCTACATTTCACTGGGAATGAGTAATATTCATTCCCCAGTCACATATTATCTTCTAGTCATTTTTACAGCAACCCTTTTTCTATGTAACAGCACAGGCAGCTCCACTGGTGTTGTTTACAGTGTGCAAAAGCTAGTCACAATAAATACAAATAAAGTGACAAGAATGACAGAGGCACTGGATTACTCAATTTGTTATCTGGCACAAAAATATGCTGATGTGCATTCAGAAAGACTTACAGGTCACCTGGCAACAGACCACAGTGCATAAGTGGAGTGCATGATCTGATCAAATCACTGCAGAGTCAGAAGTGCAGATCTACCTAGGCAGAGGGTACAGTAAGCATCAAAGCAGTATCTAAACCTCAGCTTTAGCAATCACTTACACATGAGGACAGCTTATTACAGAAGATTATGACCTCGTGAATGAATACAGAACTTGATTTTTTCAGAATGTTTTACACGTTCTGAATTTATTAAAATTATGTTATTGTGATTCTAAAATAATCTGTAGTTTATCAAGGAGATAGGGTTAGTTGGCATGGAAGCTTCTTTTAGCTGTAGCTCATCTTAATCATTAGTTTTGAGTTCTTTGTCTGAATAACCCATCCCAACTTTGTATTAAGCTTTCCAGATGAAATACACCTATGATTTATCCTTCTGCTAGGAGTTCAAACCGTCTTAAACAGAATTTAATTGTGTGTATTCAAGATATTTTAGTAAGTCAAAATCAGATCCCAGACACTGAAACTCGGCAAGAGTTTTGTTCTGTTGTTTGGGTTTTTTTTTTAGGGATATTGAAATGGTTAAGGAGAAGAATTTTAATTTAAGCAACAGATTTCTTGTATCCGTACCTGTGAGGCAGATTTCTATTTAAACGTAGAAGAGTACCATTTTCAGTATTCGATTTAGCCAAATTCAAACACAGACAGTCATTTTTACCAACACTGTGGCCCAAGACTGAGAAAATCTCATTGGATTTCATCACTATCAATAGTGAATGAACACAGAGACTGATTTTGCTTTCCTATCAGTCTTTCACAATATTCCTTTAATCTCTTTGGGGTATGCAACTGTGTAAAAAAAACACACATATTACTGAAATGCTCAAATGGGGTACAAGAAATAAATATAATTATAAACCAGAATATAATTATAGAAGTGTGAATTTTTCCTTTGCTTTTTGCAACTCGATGGCATTTAGCACAGCATAAACTGTAAACTCGCAAACAAATCTATACAATGGCTGGAATGGTGGGGGCAATCAAGACTCCAGAAAGTATCAGATGTTTCCTCTAATCATGGAGCTATAGTAATAGTAACAACATTCACATTTTCTCTCACTTCTGGATTTAAATATAACACAGACCCTTGTGTGCTTATTATCCCACTGAATCAACTGAACAGTTTCAAAGAACACAGGATTTAAACAGAGTAATGGCGAAGCCAAAGTAGTGACAGATTTCCCATCAAAAAGACTGACTTTTGTCGAGTCCCAGGTATCACATGCAGAACTCAGTCAATGGTCCTCATGCCCACCTATTTCAACATCAGCAAAATCATGAACTCAACAGTTCCTTTCCCTCTCTCTCTCTCTCTCTCTCTCTCTCTCTCTCTCCAGCGTACAAAGACACGGCTGATCAGCTCACTGACCAGTCGTGTCAAGTTTGTGAGACTCAGGAGGATAAAAAATGCTGCAGCACTACGTGAAAGCAAGGAAATGGATGTCTTTCAATAAGTCTCTGTGCTCTAAAAGGATCACTCATCAATCTTTCCATTCTACAACCTCTCTCCCCACAGGCAGTACATGCCCGTAGCTCATTCAGTCACAGAAGTGAAGCGATTCTTGAAATATCCATATAACTGAGGATATGAGTATCAAACAGTGGGACATCCAACACAATTCCTAACGGTTTGTGGACTATCACAGAGTTTAGGAAGAACCACTGGCAAGGTAAAAGCTACTGAACAGCAAACAGAACGGAACAAGGAACACCCTCTCAACACAAAAAAGAAATTAAGATATTACTATCCACAACTTATCAATTACAGTTCCATCTCAAAAACAATCAAAGGGAAAAAAAGAAAAAAAAAAGCCCAAAACCACCAAACCACAAAAATAAAAAGGGTCACTGAGGGAACAATACTTTATGTCACTAAATAAAGCATTGTGCATAACTCATTCCCCATTCTTCTGCTATCCTTATAATTTCTTTCAGAGAGAATTTAAGACTTTCCTCTTGAGGTATCAGCAGTCAAACAGGACAGACAAAACCAGTATAAATGATGCAAAATACTAGCAACTATACAAATGTCACTGGAACAGGTCTGAAATTGCAAAAAAATAATTTAGTTCACTTGGAACCACCGAAGAATTAGAGCTGAAGGCTCCCGACTTAGCAAAGATCAGAAAATAAAGGGAAAGTTTTTTAAATTTTATTTTTTATTTTATCTTGCAATTTGTGGCAAAAGGTCAGTCTTGCACTTCCAACATCCTTTCATTCATACTTTCACTACTATGAAAGCTAGTTTAAAAATGCATGACTATGGTTACCTATGATGGCTAATAGAAGAAAAAACCCAGCAGTTTCACAGCTGACCTCAAAATCACTTACAGCAGTTCAGCAAAAGTTGGGGTGAGGAAGGCAGGCAACAGAAATCATCATTTGCGCAATGGCCTAAGTGTTACAGCACTAGTCTGGAAAACGAAACTCAGCCTTTCAAACACCCTAAGGGCCTGAGCCTACTTTTCTAACATCACATTAATTTTTTTATGCTATTATGTCATATACATATGTATATACACTTTTATATATATAATCCATTTATATGCTTGCGTATATATAGATAAAGCATATATTTTTATACATTTACTTATACATAGTCTATGTATAGCACTGTGTTTTACAGGCAAAAGCTGTCTTTTAAAGAATAAAACTCAGGATGAGTACAATCCAGTGAATACAAATCAACCTGGAGCCTGTTGACTCAACGGCTTATTAAAGAGATGCGGTTTAAACTGCTTAGCACAGAAAGCCTCCCGAGGAGAAAAGGAGAAAAAGGAACGTTCTATTCTTTGAAGACAAGGAAAAGGAATGTTCTTTCTTTACTGTAGTATTCCCCCCGATTCCTTCCATGAACTTGCTTAGGAAGAAAAATTAAATCTAAATTTATCATTTTAGAGACACCCATTTCAGTCACTGTCGCAGGATGAAATAAACACTCCTTTCACGCATTGCTCAACCAAAATATTTGAGCCATGCCTAAATGTCAAGGCATGTGGTGCTGATGTACCCAACCAGGTGGGTTGAACCTAAAGGTAGTCTGGACCACCAAACTAAAGGAAATGCTGCTGCAGTATTCATGTCTTTAACCTTTCAGCTGATCTACTCTCATAACCAGTACCACTTAAGTTCGTTTTATTGTTACCTGGAAGTTAAAGGAAGGTGAAGTCTCTATTAAAATAAACACTAAACATT